AAGAGTAAAGATATAAGATATTTTAAAACAAATCAATTTATCTATTTTTTTACAGCCTATGTACAGGTACTTGATAGAATGTTTCTCATTGTAAAATGTGTAACCTATGTTACATAAGTAGCCTATGATTTTTATTGTTCCTTCATCCTTTGTGGGTTATAAACAGCATGATTTTCATTGCTCAGTCACCCCTTGTTACATGATGGTTTTTCATTACAATATCGACTCTTGAGAATTAGGCTAAAACATCAGAATCCCTTTCATTAGAGAGAGAGAGAGTACAGTACTATACTGCAGAGTACAATAATGTAGGCCTACAATGTACTTTACTATTACTGTATGTAATTTATCAATTAAGCTTTGCCATATGTATGTACATGAAAATCACCTTACAGTATGTAAGAAATCCGCTATTATATGCAGTTTCAGCTATCCATGATCGCTCTTGCATCACATCACCCGCAGATTTGGGGCATTACTGTACTTAAAGCTTTTGGGTTCTCTGTCATGTGTGGCCAGTAGATGAAGACAAACTCAATGACTCCATTAACTTGGTCCCATTACATAAGACTGGTGGATACTACCATCAGGACTGGCCCTGGCCGTCCAGTCACCATAGGCAAGGTTCTGCTGATAGGCCCAGGGCAATGATCAGCCCAGGGCAAGGCGCCAGGCCAGCACAGGGCAGGGATCCGCCCAGGGCAAGGCGCCAGGCCAGCACAGGGCACGGATCAGCCCAGGGCAAGGCGCCAGGCCAGCACAGGGCAGGGATCAGCCCAGGGCAGGGATCAGCCCAGGGCAAGGCGCCAGGCCAGCACAGGGCAGGGATCAGCCCAGGGCAAGGCGCCAGGCCAGCACAGGGTATGGTAAGGCTTGTCCAATAAAAATAGACTAACTGTAATGTTAGGTTTAACCTTTAAAATACTGTTCTTCTTCTGACTTGAACACTTGAATACCATAACTTACGATTATTCTATAAGATGAATTACATGCAAAAGGTTGTTTTGTAATACTTGTGTGGTATTAACAGAAAACTAAATCTCACTTGCTTTTGCATCATACCATCTATAAAGACCCTAGAAGGAGTCAGAGAGAATCTCAGTAGGTCATTGATATACAAACCTGGGTCTGTTACATAACTCTTGCATTAGCTTCAATAGATGCTATGCATATCCTAACTGACCATGATGTCAAATGCTTGCTGAGCTAAAAGGCTGTATGATAAGGAGCATTCCAGCAGGTGGCACTGTGGCCTCACCATTAGCAGATTTATAACTTTGACCACAGTCCAAGCTTTGACCAAAACAAAGGTTCATTCCAGTTTTGTGTGGGATCAACTGTCAAAATGTTTGCTATGCCACGGCGTTCTGGGTACTGGAATGGTTGAAAGGTTCTAGGTAAGCAGCAGGTCTATCTTTCATTAGTCTTGAGTATTTCAATGCGCAGCAGCTAACAGCATGATGTATTGCCATCACAGTGTCACAAGGGGGCTCTGTATTGTGTGCATGGTCTGAATTCTGTAAGTAATGGTGCTATAGCTAAATTAAATGTTCTGCTTCTAGGATTCCTAAAGGAGGGTCCTGATTGGCTAGCACTGGTTCCTCCCACTTGCAGAGTTGCAGGTTTGAGTCCTGCCTTCATCTGTGGGTGTAATGCTTAAATGGCTTTTCTCTTCAGATTTTTATCTGCAGTCCAAAAATATGCAGGGAGCTTAGCTGTCTAGTGTCTCAACATTGTCCATTTTCTTTGGAGTTGTACAATACAAGTCAAAAGTCTGGACACAGCTACTGAAAATGACCTTGGAGTTATCTTATTAACAAAGAATAAGATGGAGTGCTGTGACAGATGACCTGCTTTCCCCCCCCCACCCACTAGAGGGCGCTAGGGGCACGCCACTAGTCTGCAGATCAGTGGTTAAGAAACACTGTGGCAGCTAATTATTATTTCAAGGAAACATTCATTCAAACTACAACATGAAGTTCTTTAAAGTCTGTTAATGTTTATGCTCCCAGGGTGCTGGATTACTCTGAGCCAATCAGTCTATATCCTGCTGTGTTAGATCCCAAAAGCATAATGAAGGACAGGGATTCTGAGGTGCTGTGGCAAATTTTGCGATTACCCCATTATGCTCAGTAAATGAGACCTGCAGCAGCATGCAGACCTGCACAAAATGGGGAATTACACATGTTCATGGACTATTCCGTACTGTCATGTACAACGACAATAACAAACTGAATCTTAAAAAGAAACGGCTTAACTGATTGTGGATAACTTGTGTCTTTGTAAAATGGAGTACCAAGGACCAATAAATTTATGCTTTTTCAACGGACGCTGAATATATTCTCCACTATAGATGTTTATGATTGTGCTAGGTCAGCCCCTGTGACTAGCGTGTTCTTCTTGGCTTGAAAGGTATAGCTTACCCACATTACAAGTATGTTTCCAGTGCAGTCATCCAAACTGATAATGGTCAGTGGAGAATGTGGTGAGTTTGCTCTCTATGTGGTTTTTAGTTCATGGAGCTGAACCACAAACCAGTCATGCACATAGTGTCTGATGAAAAGTGTGTGTGTGTGTCTGTGCGTGTGTATATACACTCACCTAAAGGATTATTAGGAACACCTGTTCAATTTCTCATTAATGCAATTATCTAATCAACCAATCACATGGCAGTT